GAAAATATTTTATTATGGCAAACAAAGCACATAGGGATTTTCGGAGCCTTACCGAATAATCCTTCGTGGCCGAAGATTGCCATGCTGGACTGCCACGCAGAGATCCCGGGTTCGATTCCCGGGCCGGGAGAAATATTTGTATGGCCTATATTCATTTCTCTCGGTGTTTGGGTGTAATTTGTTGTTGTCTATGTGGGCGACCATGGCACCCGTGATACAGGGTTTCCCTGGTGCAGGGCTATAAGTGTGTGCGTTATTATTATTATTATTACTTTAAAAGAAATTCGTTATCAAAATTTCACCATATTTTTAAACTACAGTGAATGTGTACAGGGAAGTTTAACGATTGTATTTAGTAAACATATAGTACACATATAAATTTTCCGATTTTGTAGCTTTTCCGTACACTGTGGATTGCTTCGGTAACTAGCTGTCCTCAGCAAAATAATCGAGTAAGAGATCACTTATTGGAGCTAATAATGGATATAAGGCCTATACACGATACATTTATTCAGAAGAATCGTAAAACGAGTTTATCTCGACATTCAAGTATTTTTTAATTTTATGTCCTATAAACGTCCCGAATAAACGTTTATTCGGCATTTATATATCGCCTTTATTCCACTGTCATATACAATGGCTTCAGAAATTACATTTGCAACACATTTAAATTCTAGAATCAGTCTAAAAGTGTAGTCGCATTTGCTTTTTGTTTGAAGAAGTTTTTAATCGGCTGATAACATCTAATCGCTTTTTAATCATATAAAACTGTTTACGAACTATATAGCGACCAGGTTTCACATAAAAAATGCAAAAATGGTTTTTAATGCTCTTATGGAACTTTAATAAGGAATAATAACTTTAAAAATTTTCTTTACAATTACAAGATTTTATTTACTCATTCTATGATTTCTTTTTTTGTTTTAGTTACAAACAGACAAAGCCACTCATACACTGTTAACATGTTAAAAAACCGAGTAATAGCAAATTAGCAACTTTTAATCCATGAATCACTTGAATAATGGCAAAGTGACGATTTTTATCTATATGATTCCATCCATATTACTTTTATGCAGCGACTCAGGTTTATTTTCACACGGGTTTATTTGACGATTTGGCTCCTTAGAAGACCGTCACACAACTTTTATAGCGGCTTAATCTGAAAATTTAAGTACAAATACTGCCAAATAAGCGCTTACCGCAGCCTTATCCGAATATTTATAAATACTGTACACTGCCGCCGTTAGTTGAAAGGGCGCATGTGACATTTAATAATCTCAGTACAGAGTACTAAAAAACCTACCTCAAAGTTACGTAGAATTACATCTATTTGCCAAGTTTTATTGAAATATCCCCTAGTTCGCTACTATACAGGACTTGACACAGGAGATAACAAAAATCGGTTCTCACTACTCAAAGTATATTGAGAGAGAAAAGCGCCTTGAATTGAAGAATAGAAAAATCAACCATTAAAATAATTATTATTAAATTGCTCCTTATAGTAGAATTTACGCGCTATTTATAAAAACGAATGTTCATGCGTGATCAGCCACCCCTAGAGGTGGATGATTTTATTCAAAATGAAATGGGACCACTATGGAGGTACCATCTTTCCAGCAAAAAAAGAATCATGGAAATCGGTTCACACATACCGGAGTTATCGCGTAACATACATACAAAAAAAAACATACAGTCGAATTGAGAACCATTTCTTTTTTATTTCATTTCTTTAAACATTATTTTCTCAGTTTTGAGTTTTTCACAACGTCCTTTTAACTAATGGCGGCTGTACAGACCCTTTTAACTGGTAGCAGTAGAGTTCCTTTTGGAAGAGTTCGTCCAAGGAAATGTCACCTTACCTATTTCTGCCGCCAAGCAGTAATGTTAGCATTACTGCGTTCCGGTTTTGAAAGGTAAGGGTGCTGGTGAAATTACAGGCACATGGGATTTGTCAACTTATGTTGGCACAGGGTGATGGTCGCAGTGGCATTGCCCCTCAGATCTTTGCGATTTGAAGCTCTGAGTGGCACTGCAACTGTTATGGACAGGCTTACCATCAGACGCACAACTTGTGCGGCCTGTCACTTGATATTATACACCAAAGCAAAAATAAAACACCAAAGCACGTGTTCTCTAATTTTATATCACGTTTTTTTTGTTTGTTGAACGTATGAATTGTTCGATTCTTGAACATGGAACAGTAATATGAAATTCGTATTTGACGTGGAGTCGAACCCACTTACTTCATGCTTTATTTGAAATAATAATGAAATATCGCGGTACCACGACAAATTAGGAAGTGTCGTAGCACAGAAATTCTACCAAACTTTCGTTGAGACTTTTGAAAACGTATGTTAATAGCATGCTAAGTGCTGAATAGAGGCGGGCACATTTGAAGGGTATGAACGTCGATTAGGTCTACCATCAAATTGAACTCATAAGATATAGTTAAGTGAAACCAAAGCGAACGACCGGACGGCAACGGCAACTTATGCCGCTCTATATTGGCTTTTGCTGGAAAAAATAGACAGCTGCCACTCGTTAAATGTAAATAAGATTTTTGACATTAAATCTTTGCAAGGGAAATTGAAATCTTTGCTAGAGAAATTATAATGCGAAACCGGTTGTAAGGCTGCATTATTAGGTTACGAGGTGAAGCTCGCTGTCGCCAGCGTGATTCTAAGTGATTCTAATATCATCAGTTTTAGTGATTGAGTTCGTGGTAAAATATGTAGTTTTTTGGATTTAAAAAAGTCCGTTATTTTCGTCATAACTTCAGGATAAGAATCTTAAGTCACATAGCTAGATCTAGTAAAATCGATAGACCCTGATGCATATCATCTTCACTGCGCACTTAGTAAAGTCCTTAGAGAAACGTAACTCATGGAAATCGAGCCAGAGATCCAACCCGGGTACCCAATACGTGGGAGAGTGGATCACATTACAGCCCCGTTACGCAACGAGAGGGAAGCTGCCCCTTCATTACGCGCCATAAACAAGCTACCAAGGTCCAATTACAGCATCGCTATTTGGGAACGATGTACGAAACTAATATGTAAACTAACAAGAATTATATACAAATTGCGCTTGTTTGTTAAGTTCACTATCCGAACTACATAGGTGGATCAGGTGGTTGGAAATTAAAGCTTCTCGGGGTATCTTTATTATGCATTCTTTAACAGTATTGAAATACGTTTGGAGTATCAACAGTGAATGTTTGTAATAAACTGGCCGCCCTGTATCGGTTAATTATGTAACTGCTAGTTTTAACATTCCCATAATCGCTTTTTGTTTGTACATACATTTAACTTCCACATTTCTTTTTTTTATAATATCAAGTGACGGGACGAACAATTCGTACGCCTGTTGGTAAGCTACACGCCTGTCCATAACAGTGACCAATATTATAATTTGTGGCTTGATGTGAAATATATTAGGTACTACTTATTAATGAAATTGAACATGAAACTGATAATTGAGTATTAATTTGAGGTAATTGTAGTTGTGGTTATTATCTTTGTGTCGGAAGTTAATCTCAAGTCATTATCGCCGTCCGCAATTCAAACAAGTCAAACGAAATTATATTGCTTGTTGATAAAGTTCAAAATTGAAAATATATCCTGTAGAGACACATTGACACTCTGTTTAATGCAAGTGTAAGTAGAATTCAGTCATAGTAAGACGCCATAAAAGCTTGTAAAGATTGGAGAGTCAGCATAATATGACAAGGTTTCAACTCTATACACAGGATGTAATCGTTAATGGGCCCAAGCGATTGTTCCCTAAATATAAGAGATATCAAAAACCTTTAAACTGATATCGAAAGTCTGTCACTAAATGAGTAAAACGACATCAATAAAATAAAACTATAAATATCCAAAATGTTAACATTAAACACTCCAGTGCGTTTTATGAGAAATTCGCAGAGAGGCTTTAGTTTGTAACAACTGCTTTGAATACAAAATGATGTACTTACTTAAAAATAAACATCGCTTTGTTTGTATTCAATTAAGCGATAGTTTTATCACTTTATTTATAGAAGTTTCGTTATCTGAAAACTTATTGTTACCTCTTAAAGTAGGTCAACTCACTACGTACTATCGATATCAGTTTAAAGGTTTTTGATATCTCTTATATTTACGAAATAATAGCCTGGGCGCACTTGACTGTATATTCAAATACATAATTTACAGTTTCATAGAGCCGTATTAAAGGCAGCCATCGTTTTGCCGTAATACAATTAAGATTTCAAAATACCAACTATACAATTGTACTCAAATAATGCAAACAACTGTATTGTTAAAACGTTAAGGTACAGAGTCAAGAGCACGTCTAGCTTGACACTTAAGATTTATATCCAACTCTATCTACTTAAGATTTATAACCGCTTACGATAAGAACGGTCCAAAGTTCAAAGTGTCAAGCTTGACGTGCTCTTGACTGTACCAGTTAAAACCGTGAGAACTAACAAAATAAATCAAAATACTGACTCATGCACAATCGTCACCTTGAACTGCGGAGTCAATAAATATGACGCGAACATAAAATAATATATCACAAAAGATAATACTTATAAGCGATAATAAGGAAAACACAATTGATGAAGGAAAATAACACAAAAGAAAAATTGAAATTAATTGATAATATTTCACCGCGTTACGAGTGTCATAATAATGAAAAAAAAACTTTTCGTTCACTCTTAAAGTAATTAGTTACTTTGACAATGTATTAGGTTATGAACACACACAAATACATGCAGATATAGAAAACTATGCACTTCATGCTGCTGTACTTAATTCGTCATGTGCGTACTCGTTTGTTTTTATGCTCTGCCTAATTTGTAAACGTCAATTTTGGTGCAGTCGAGCCGGAACGAACCAAATATTTGTTGATATAACAGAGCCGTGTCTGAAGTCTGCGGGTCTGTGCAAATGCACGAGTCAATTTGATATCCGTATAGAAACTGGTGTACACTTGTAATAGTTGGTTGTAATTCTTACCGAAAAGAGAGGGTGTAGAGTAGAAGTGAAGACGAGAGAGAGAGCAGCGGTGCACGGTGAGGTTAGCCGAGTGATCACGCACTACAGAGCAGCGAAGTGCGTCGCGCTCGGGGGCCGGGCGCCGACTGCCGCGTCGATCGATACCGCCGCCATTGCTGCCGTGCGTTCCGTTCCTCTTGGTTTAAATTCAAATGTTATATTGATTCTCAAATAGAAACTATTCAGAAACCGTTAAAAAACGATTGATAAATGTTATATAATTGCACCTTTTTTCTGTGTGTGTACCATTCTGATATCAGGGACCGTTCAAAGAAAATGTTACAGGCGGAAGTAGTAATGGAAAATTGATTTCCCCTAGTGCCGTGACTTCCGCGCAGCGCCTTTTCCTCGAGTGAGCGGCAACTTACAGACTTGGTGTCAGACGAGAATCGATTCAACTCTAGACATAGAGTTAGTGCGGAGTTAATTAAAAGTTTGCTTCGCACTCCTGCACACTAACGCTGTGGATAAGAAACATTTGCAATGCCAATTATAGCTGATTCTAGTCTTAATAAAGGAAAGCGGAGACTTGAAAGGCAAACTCGGAAGCAATATCGAAGAGATTGTTAATAGTCTTTTATCTGAATGATATAATTTTTGAGTGAGAGGACTCGACACCGCCCAGCGCCAGTGCCGGCGCCGGTGGTCGCCGCTTTGTCGGCTACTTGATAATTTCCGTAATTAATTCGCACTAATTACGAATATCGCCGACTGTCGCGACACTCTGACACCGCCGTCACTGTAACAAACGGTCGTTTGCTGCAAAATTAAATGTACTCAGAACTTGTGTTTCAACGAAATTATTTGGCTCTTATAGTTCTCTGCTTTGCTTTTCTTGCGTACGTCAAATATGGTATTGCAATCGTTTCGACGCGCAGACCTTATTTTGAGTCAGGCAAAGGGGTAAAAAATGAGACTGTAATATTATAAATTGTGTCGTAAAAGCAACTCATATTCATATTCGAAACAAAAGTACAAAGCTACACGTTAACAAGAGCTGAATTAATTTGCATGAAATGTTCATAATGACCGCGCGGCAAAGCGGATTGCAGCCACGCAGCAAACGGCGACCCCAATTTAATGCATTTTACATTCTAACTAAGGCCGGACGACTCGTTTATGTTACTTATAGTACACAAAACCGTCATAATCAGAAGGTAGACAAGCTTTGGGAATAGGTATACTTACTTTGATGGTATTCCTACCGACCTATGATTTCCTTCGCTTTGTAGGGGCGTGTGTTTCCGTTAAAGACGATGCTTCGTGGGATGAACACTTCACACAAACAAAAGTAAGTATTGCTATACACGTTTAGGTATATTTTCTAGCAGTTTCACTTGGACACTCGGAATTTAAAGACTACTCACAACTGCTTCGAATATTTTCAGAATCAAGTTTTAATTAATCCTAATTATGTCTGCGTATAGACAATAAGTTTGAAGACAATGACAAATAATAAAACGACATCATTTTTAAAGAAAATGTTAAATAATTTAAAGTACCATACTGTAGCTACTTCGTACCCAGACGTTTTCAAGGACCCGCAAAACAAAGTACTTTTCAGTTTCGTTGAAACGTTGTATGTACCCCCAATGGCGCAAATGCTTAGAGTTTCCAGTATTTTCAAAGTGGACTTTGCTTTGGGAAGTTAACCTATAATTCCAAAGACATCATAACTAATTGATGTTAGCATCTTATATATTTATTAATTGACACCATGTACAAGGTTACAGTTAGGTACTGCTGTTAAAATCAGAAGTCCTTTTTTAATTATTTTCATTATGAGTTCGCGTTTCCCCCAAGCTTATCGCCAAACAGAATAAATATTCAGAATCCATATTTTTTTAATTATTACGACTATATTCTTCGGGTGTGGGGTTTCAACGCTAGTTCTCTTCACGCGACCATACCCCTTACATTTATAGAAATGCTTTTCCGTGCACTTGCTTAATATATCAAAGTGATTGAAAAGAGCCAAAGATTTGATTGTACCTCTAAACACTTAAGAGAAATTATGTCAAAAGTTTAGAATTAGTGCTTCCGTGTTCTGAAAGTCAGACGGAAAAATTCCGATAACGGAATTTCATTTACCTGGAACAAATTATCAAACATCAGAAACAAAAGTCTCTCATGTATAAATAAACAACTGAAATTACGGTACTCTCCATAAGCAACCGCTACATTTATATAACCTTTCTAACCTACGCTTTGGTTTGAAATTTCTTTGCAAATCCTTAAAGATAAGTATCGATCATGAGCTCATTCAAAAGACATTGCAAGCTTTAAAAATTAGGTAGGTATCTGTTTTCGACGAATAAATTTGAAATAGTACGAGAGAGATATGAAGTTCGTTTTCGACTGTACGAGTATAAATTAATAAATGTGAATGAGCCAAAGCAAAAGTAGCTTGTCATGCAGGAACGAGTGGGTCGAGTCCCCTCAGTGGCCTTGAACAGGCGGGCAGCGGCGGCCTTCGAGAACGGCAATCGACGCGACGCTCAAAAGACTCAAGCGAATCGTGAAGGAGCGAAATGAGCGAAGCGTTATGTGGCAAACGCTCGTCCCCAATACGCCATCAAATAAGCATTTCGTTTCGATTTATGCGTAATGAAACTGTGAAAGAAATTACTAGAGAATATTTCCGAGCAGGGTCTGAATAGACGCTCATAGCTCTTCCTAAAATGTTAAGTTGAACAGTGTATAAATTTTTCTAAGTTGTAAATATTTTTTTATAGCCCCGCACTAGGAAGACCCAATATCGCGGGTGTCATGGACACACTTACAGACAACTACAAATTACACCCAAACTCGCGAGAAAACAAATGTTGACCATTCCCAGCCTGGAAATCGAACCCGGGACCCATGCGTGATAGCCCAGCATGGTAACCGTTCTGCCACGGAGGCAGTTTAGTGTATACTGTCTTTTTATCTTATCTTGTACTTTTACAACCCAGTTATTACGAATACTCTATCGAGTCTATTAACGTTGTCAAACTAACTGCTTGCAAGTGAACTCATCTAGATAAAGTCCATTTTGATACACCCTTTGATACACCTAAATCACTAGAATCTTTCAGCCAATCAGAGTACTATAAATTTCAGCCTAAATTTCACCTTTGCGAAGGAGCGGTAAAGGCGGAATTTGCGTGTGGCTTTGTTGGTTGTAGGATTTTCTCCGTGGCGTTGGCGAACATCGATCAAACTCGGTCGCTACTGTAATCGCCCGTTCTCCGTATCCGTTATTCGGCACTAGTCTAAAGTCGCTCTCGCACTCTCGCCTCGCTTCGTGTCTCAACACGTGATTCGACGGCAATTTAATTAATTGACTGGAAGACTTGTTTGTTATCTCTTGTTTGCTTTGAGGCTGTGACTGAAAAGTAAACTTGCATTGAATTTACTTGGGAATTGGGATCGATAAGTACAATAGTGAAACAAGCTTTTAATTTAAAAAACAAAGAATAAATATCGCACTTTCCGCAGGTTGACGGTGACAAAACGGCTCGATAGAGTAGTAGTTTGTGTTTTGACGATCATAAGTATTGTAAGATTGAACTTCAAAGAATGGGTCTTCAATCTTATCTGGAACAACGGTTCTGTTGCTGGCAGCCAGTGGCTGCGGAGGTGGTGCAACGAAATAAGGGTAGCATTACGCTAAGATGGAAGCAAGACACCTTCGACTTCTTAGCTGAAGACCTGCTGTATAAGGTCCAGAGCAAGAAGAAGATACCGCCGCCGTGGGTGTACGTTTACAGGTAAACTAATGCGGTAGAAAGAATTAAGGAAACATCTTTGTAGGTACTTTATATTGCACTCTAAATATAGATACACATAATATATATAATACATAATAGTACTAATTAATAATAGAAACAAGTATCTCTTACCGTCGTATTTTTTTAAATCTGGTCTAAACAATATTTCAGGCTTAACAACCTAACATTACAGTTACTAATTATTATTTTAATTGACTTGCTACTGTTACTTATAACATTTTGCAGTGGTGGAAAAACAATACAAAAAATAGACAACCTGGCGCCGTGCTGTCAACACAAATTCAGAATTCAGGTGATACTAAAGTCAGAAGCCGTTCCTTCACTCGCTGAAAAGGCCCTCACGCATTACGGCAGCGAGGCGGCCGTTTATGCAAACGTCCGAGGAGACCAGTTCACTCAGACGAAAACCTCAGCGGGCAGCGATAATGGAGATAGTACTCAAATCACAGATGATGATAAAAATGATGAATGTGAAAACGTTATCATTGAAAGTGTAAACAGAATGCAAGAGAATGAAATTGAGAGGTAGTTTATGTAGAAACTTGATTTCTTTAGTGATTTTGTTTTTTTTGTGTAAGTACTTGTTGAATAATTAATGATATTTTAGAGTACTTCCAGTAGGAATGAAAGTCAATGACAAAAGGCGGTGGTTAGAGTCTCAGTGGTCAGAGGAGACCTGTACGAGCACAGAGTCAGACGGCACCTCCGCAACTTGCTTCTGCATGGCAGTAAGGGGTGGATATCTCAAGCAGGCGAGTCCGTTACACGTAGCACCAAATTGTTTTTTTTTATATGATTATTCTATTGAGTTAATTTTTCTACTTAAAGGACTCAGGCGGTGTAATATCTTGCGATTTGTATAATCAGGTTCAAACACTGTTGGAAGAAAAACCAGCACTGATCGGAATAGTGAACTCTACAAATGGGTTCACTCCTCTCGCGACTGCCGTTAGGCAAGGTAACTTCGTCTTCGTCTTTCCAAGTACTCTAGCCTAGGTAAGTCTACAACCTTTTTTTTCCAGGAGACCTAAACATGGTGAAGTTATTACTCTCAGCGGGGGCTGAAGTTGACCAACGGTCCTTCACAGGGCAAACACCATTGCATCTCGCCGTGCTCGGAGCGCACAGAGCTCTCGTGGAAGTGCTGCTCGATAAAGGCGCTAACTTTCAGGTTTCTCGCTCCCAACCCTCACGACTCCACTCCTGCCTCCTCTCCTAAGACTCACCTCTTAGCTTGGTATTGAGCTGCACAATTCAATCCCTATTACTTACCTCAGTCAGATCTACTAGTTTATTGTTCCTTGTCGTTTTTCTATCTCCCTATTTACGTTTCTGTACCTATCATCAAGATCTCTTTCGAACCGAACCTATTCGTGCTCCGATCGCCCAAGCTATGCGGCACTCTCTGTTTACCCATCACCGAATACGCTTAGTCCAATTATACCTACTCACATAAGGATAATCAAGGCACCAGACGACACTCGTCGCGTGAGATAAAACACGATATTTTGTATCACAGGCACGTGATATTAACGAGTTGCGCGTGGAGCATTGCGCCGTAGACTCAGGTAAACTGAGCATGGTGCGGTTGATCCATGAACGCGGAGGAGACGTGGCCGTACGGGACAACAATGGCTGGACGCCACTTTTCAGGGCTAGTAGGTACATTTAG